GTTCAACCATTGCTTCACAGTCCCATCTCTACCTCTTTACGACCACTTTTGTCAAGATGGTTAATATAGAGTAGAGAAGTATTGTGCTAAGTGCTAACCTTAAAGACTATGTTACTCGTGTTTTGTTCTGATTATTTTTTCACCATAAATCTTGCATAATTTGTGTGAAGTGCTTGTTTTATTGATTTCAGAACTTAATGCAAGGGATAATAGCTTATCTTGAGATTTAGAGTGTTACAGAACTCCTGTGTAGATGACTGGACATGTGAGTTCTTGTTCGCTGCATTTATGAAAGCTTAAGGTTTATGATAGCTCTTACTCATGATAAATTTGAGATCAATGTTTTATCTTCTTGTGAATACTTTATATGATGGCTTCAACTTTGGTTTAGGGTTTTCGCAGCCGCATCTATCTCATCTTGCTTTCTGCAAATACCTCTTTGCTGTTAATCTTCGGACTTAATATGAATATTAACTAAAATATCAGTTCGACATTGTCGCAAACAAAATATTCTACAGTGATTCGACTCCTGTATCATTTAAATTTATAGATGCGGTAGTGAAAAAGAAGTAGAAAAATAAATCATAAGTATCTTTTTAGTGAAAAAGAAGTAGAAATAAAAGTAAAAATAAATTTCTACGACTTTGAGTTTTTGTAAAAATTTCGGGATATATCTTTAGTTTAAAGAATCTCCAACACACGTTTATTTTAAATCTTCTAATTTAGTGGAAAAATAAAAATATTATTTTTTCCTCTATAATTGGAAGAAAAAATAACAATCTTTCTTTTTCCTGTAAAATAGAATAAGTTGGAGAGAAATCTATTTATATTTTAGAGAAAAAAATAAAAACAAATATATTGGAGATGATCTTAATGTCTAAGGTATTATTCAAGGTTAAGAAAAAAAAAATGAGTCAAAAAGATAAAAAAATAAAGAAAAGTAATTTTGATCGATTTTATATTTTTATTCGAAATATTAAAAATATTATCTTATACATATTAATTATTTCATGCATATATCTTTCCAACACATTAAAAAATTATTTCATGAATCATATTTATTATATATTCTGATCCATTATATTTTAAATTAACACATATATCAAAGTTAGGAATAGAAGAACTCTTAATTTTTAATATAACAATAAATTATTAAATATATTATTTTACACCTTAAACCATACACATATAATTTTAGGATCCGACTGGTTTAAACGTTGTAGTTACAAAGAGTTTATGGAAGCGGGCGATTACAGGCTATAAAAATATTGACGAAGAGCTGAGCGAAGAGCTACCAAATAATTTTATAAAATATGATTTCATGAATTTTATAACAAATATTCATTATAATTATTATTAAGAAACCATATATCATGAAACGCTGAAAATAAGAAATTTTAATTAAATATAAAATGATAGAAATGGTTTTCGTAATTGTTTTTAAACGCCAAAAACTGTATCGTGTAAAAATATAATATTTGCAAAAAAATATCAGAAAATTAATTAATATCTAAATATTACGATTCACATATTTCTAAGTCATATTTACATGCATAAATATACATATTTGTTAAAAATAAAATTCAACCATACATTATAAAAAGAGAAATTCCCTCAGATGCACATAATCTAAGTTTTTGTTCCTAATATACACTAACACTCTAAAAAATTCTTTCCATAACATTTTTCACTAAAGACTTGATCATATTAACATTAGTTAGATAAAACATTAGTTAATAAAAGAGAAAAAATAGTGTACAAACAAATGTATCAATGGTCAAGACTGATCTGAAATTTGAATCATTTGTTTTGTTTAGGATCGTTCTTCTGTTTGATTGTGGTTTGTGATTGTGAATCTTTTAGATCTTTGGAGTTTTTTTAATGGGAAAGTGTTTTCGGAATTTAAAGTTCAAAATCTTATAGTGGAAAATAGATTTGATATAATTGGGTGAAAAACTCAAGAAACCCGAGCTAAAACAACAACAATGGTGAAAATAAAAAAATCGATGGAAATTAGGATTTGAGTGTCGGAGAGGTGAGGAAGGAGATGATAGTAAACTTAGGAAGATATTCTAAACTTTTAGGAAGACTTTCATAAAATATATAAATTAAGGAAGCCATTACATGTAATTAGGAATGTCTTTGTAATTTGTATAATTGATTTTTTTTTATTAATTTATACAATTCAAATTCAGGAAGCCCTTCCAAGATACTTTTCCATAATTCATGAAACTTTTTTACAATTTAGGAAGCTCTTCCATAAATCAGAAAATTTTAAAATTTTTAGGAAACCTTACCTAAATCATATGAAACGATGTTAAATTCTAGTATTTAGAAGACCTTCATAAAAAATCCCGAAACATTAACATGATAAAACATTTAGGAAGACCTTCCTAAAGGGCAAAATCGGAAAACTCAAATAAAAAATGTTAGGTGTGAAACAATTTTAACTTCCATGTTATATTTGTCCTCAAAACTTGTTTTTAGTGTAATTATAAAAATTTTCCTTATAAAGATATATATTACAAAACATATACTTTGTTATTTTTTTTTAAAACATAAAATTTATACTTTTATTTTTTCACAAATATGTGTGCAGATATAAATATTAATTGTGCAAAAGCCAAAGTCGTGTGCGAACTGTCGTGCATGCATTTTGTTAACCTCAGCTACAGTCCAATTTTAATTTTAGTTATTAGACAATTTATACTCTCTTTGATTTTAAAAGGACGATCTTCTAGAAAAAAATCGTTTTAAAAAGATGAATTTTCTCATTTCTCAATATATTTTTTGTTAAGTATTTCTAATTTTACCCTTTTAATCTGTTTGTTCATTTTATATGAATAAAAAACAAATGCCAAATATGTTCTTCCAAGATTTTTTATAATAAGTGTGAAAATCGTAAAATATCATTTTAAGGAACATAAGGAATATTTTTTTTTAAAATCTCTATAAGTCCTAAGAGCGGTAAGGTGGCTGGTATGCACGAATGTGCGGCAACCATATACCCGCTCTTAGGATAAGTAAAAATTGTAAAATTTATTTTTGTTTAATTAGCAATAGATCAAAGAAAAATATATACTTAAATTATATATATTGACAAGATTATATTGTGTAAAAAGAAAAGAAAGCATAATATATATAATATTCAAAACATACAATAAGAATTCAGTTATTATTTACTATAAATTATATTTTTGAAATTAGATATCACTCTAAACGCTAGAAAAAATAAAAAAAAGTTTACAAAACGTTTATGTGATTGTTGTTAAACACTAAAATTGTATATGTACAAAAACATAACAACTACATAATGTATAAAAAATTAATGAATACTTAAATATTACAACTAATTATGTCTATAAAAAAATTATACGTTTACCTGTGTACGAGCCAACCATAAAAATTAAATAAATTATTATATATTTTAATATTTTTCTGTTTATTTAGTTTACAAATTTACACTTTTTATTTAAGAAAATATTTTAAAATCTTGATTTATATTTTTGTCTTAAATTTCTATTGGAAGCTATAACATTTTTATTTGATTTATGGTTATTTTTAATTATTAAATGTCTACACAATGTTATTATTAATACATAAATAATAATGTATAAATAGAGTCTTTTAAATATACAATATTACTTATATATTGAACATATAAAATGTTTTATAGTCTGCATAAAGTGTGGGCTGATCACTTAGTGTAAATGTAAAACAAATCAATAAAATTTGATATAAAAACTAGTAATAGTTTTATTGACCACAAAAAACCTATTGATGGTTTTTAAATTATAGTTTGTGTAATAGATAACTTTAACTTACATATAAGAATGTTTTATGCCATCATAAATCTAAAACATACATTTAGTTAAATTTTCTCTTGATTTAAAGAAAATACAATTTACAAAAAAAAGTTAGTGGTAAAAGATTTAAAGAGAAAAAATATAATGCTACCAAAATTTAATTATGCTATGCATATATAAATGAAAAGTTTATTTGTTTTAATAATTAAATTAATTATTTTCTAAAATATGATATCATATATATACGACTATTATATGTTTATGGGTCAAAATTCATAAATGAAAAATGGATAACTATATATGGATTATGATAAGTTGATGAAAATATCTTTCTAAATTATGATAGTCAAATCAATTACGATATAACCTAAAATTATATTTATTTTATTCAACGCCAATAAAAATATATACAAATTATTTTGCCAAAAAAATTGACTTTGAAATAAACTTTCCGGGTCATAGGATCAACCACTATGTGTTCCTTAAGATTTTAAGTATGTAAATCAATAAATTATATTTTATAATAGATACTTATTGAACATTTATAAAATGTTATATATAGTCAAATGATAAAATGAAATATATTAAGATGGTAATTAAGATATTTTTCTTCCTTTGAAGTTAGTTTGCAATATATTACCTATTTGAGTCCACATTTTCTTCTGTATATATATGCATGTAACAGTTTATTTTTCTTTCAGTGCAGTCATTTTCTCAAACCTTATATCATATATCAGAAAATGGCTAAAAATTTGAATGTAAATTTGGTTGAGAACATAATTCCTGAATTTCTTCGTGATATTTCAATCCTGTTAATCGACAATGACAGTATATCAGTCACATCTGTCACATCAATGCTTACAAAATTTTCATATAAAGGTATAAAAATGATTATTCGTTACATTTTGTTTTTTTATTTTTACCATTTATATTAGTATTGATCATTTGTGTTTAAATATAGACTATTTTACGTAAATCTAATTGTTGTTATGATAAATTTGACCATTTGTTGAGATTTTTTCTAATGATAAGAATTTAGAATCTCTAGATCTTGGGGTTTTTGCATTGTATAGACCAAAGTTTTTGAACAAATTTGAAACATAATCAAAATCGTATATAATTTACAGAAAAACAAGTGAAAATCTAATAAGAGAAAAACTTGACTATTTTTTGGGTTTTTATAAACATCTAGTGATGAGCGTGAACGTTGCAAGTGAGGCCGTATCGATGATCGAACAACAGAAGGATATTGGACTTGTCATAGCCAACATTGAAATGGCTCACGTAGACTCACATTCCTTCCTAAATGCTTTGCTCCACAAAGAAATTCCTCTTATACGTAAGTAAATTTTCACACTTCTTTTGTTTAACTTCTTCCACCGTTTGTTTCTTCTGCAAGTTAATATATCTTAATTCTTTTTTGCGTTAAAGTGATTAGTCCGGAAATTAACACCAAGGAAGCATCAGATCTTTTGACCAAAACAGCATGCTTTTTCCTGAAGAAGCCGATTTCTGAAAATGACATTAACAACATGTGGCAGCATGTGGTGTCTAAGAAGAGCCAAGCCCTAGAGAAAATCAGCATTGCTGAACAACAAGAGAAAGTCACGGACAACAGTGCATTAAATAAGATTGAAGCTTTCAGAGAAACCATTAAAAGGCAAGGAACAAGTCAATCATCATTGTTAGGAAAACGACCGTTCATCAACATATTCACAACCCCTGAAACATATCAAAAGAGAAAAATCATAGCAAATGATGAGACTGAGAAGAAGGGAGAAGAAGAAAGGAAATTGGAGAGTAATATTGGGAGACGATGTTACATATGGACTCATGAGCGTCACTTGAGATTTTTAGCTGCTATTTCCATCTTGGGTGACAAAAGTAAGAATTTACTATTTACTTTTTACCAATTCTTTTTTGTTTTCATCATTTTCTTTTACTTCTTTGTCTTGCAGATTGTCGTCCCAAAGCCATATTGAAAATTATGAATGACCCAAACTTGAGTCATCGCCAAGTCAGTAGCCACCTTCAGGTTCATATATACTTACTTAATTACTTTGATTCAACATATAATATTGTTGGATGGTCTTATTATAAAAAAAAATTCATCGTATAATTGTTTCAGAGATACAAATCTCAAGTTCAACGAATTAACGATATACTGCCGAAATATGAATGTCGATCAAGAGATAAAACATGTGTCTACCCTCCAGATTATAAATACCCTTTCAATGTATCCGACTTAGCGAAGAATCTCATTCAAAGTAACACTTTGTGGCATTCCCTGAGAAAGAAAAAGTCCTCATCATCATCCATTTCGGAATGCAAGTCTTCTTTTACTATATGCATATACTTTTCACAATTTCTATAATTTTTGTATCATATTTGTGTTAATATTGTTTTTCTTTTTAATGCAGATTCATTTGAAGAAAGTGCTACCGTGGAGACGCCAAAGTTTCATCTAGGCGGGAAACTGGATCTGAGTAATCATTCAGATTTTTGTAACATACTGAACAAGCCATCCATGAAAGTCCATTCTGTTCCTTCAGCCACAAGTAAGAACCCATCTTCCATTATTCCTCCTTCTACCAATAGTGGCTTAAGTAGCAACAACCCTCCTCTCCTTTCTGGTATACCATCAAGTGTTGGTGCATCTAGCTCTAGTTTTGAAACCAGCATGAACCAACTAGATCTAGACTCTATTCATATACCAGATTCTTATGTTCCTCAAAGTGATCTATTCAATATAGAAGATGGCTATTTTCTTCCAGACGAGATGGACCAGATGGATTGGGTTCTACCGGTAGAGAACTACAGTCATCATGCAAACAATATGAGTCAAATGGATTGGAGTCCTTCAACAGAAAATCATGTTCTTCCTGAAACCAATACAAACCAGATGGCTAGGGTTTCTTCTGGAGGAAATCCTGTAGGTTTTGTTTCTGGTGAAGCAAGTTATGAAATCATTCCTGAAACCAATACAAACCAGATGGATTGGTCGTTTTCTGAAGAGTGTTTCCGTCTTCTTGAAGATACAACTCAAGTGGGTTCGGACAACGTGGTTCCTTTTGGTGCTAATGATGATGTTCCGATCGATGATCTGATCTCTTTTGACCCTGACGTCAACGCTGGGTATGATCTAGACGTTTGTATGGAAAATTATGATTTTAATGAAAGGAATAATCGTTTTCCAACGAGTTATATTGGACATAACTCTGCCTTCAATACCCCGATAGACTCAATCCCTCACGCCACGATGGAGGATCATGATCAGTCTCTTGGTGTGAATTTGGGTTCGACAAGCCAGCAACCATATATGATGGAGTCCTATGGATATCACAATGTAGAAGCCGCAAATCCAAGAGAGGCTATGGAGGGAGTAGATGGTTTTGATGATATTGATTCGATGAGATGCTGAACAACTTTGCACATGGCATATAGTTATACAACATATGTTTTCTTGGCGGTGGAGAGGATAAAGAGAAGAATGAAAATGAGAGGAGTTCTCACACCTTTAGTACTTGTTTTTTATTTTATACAAATGTTTTTCATACATTTACATGTATGTAAGTCATATACAATAATGTTGGAGATTTCAAAAGTTATTCAGAGTACTCTTGATCGTTATCTTATATGGTTTGAGTCTTAGAGATTCCATTTATGTTTATTTCTTTTTTGTCGTTAATTTTCTTATTATGAATTAGTCAAATATTTTTAATTTCACCAATATGAGATTTTTCCATGATATTCAACCCTGCTAAAACCTCTGACCAATTAATAATTGCTCTTATGTTGAACCTAAGTTAGTGAAAAATAGAAAGAAATATTTGTAGTATTGATATAGCTTTTGATTTGATTTAGGGTCGAGACTAAAATCAAATAGTCATAAAAAGAAGAAACAGCTTTTAACATATTTCTGAAGTACAAACAAGCATTCTCAATGATTATCAAAGACAACATTGTTTTATTAAAAGGAAAAGGCTATATCAATACTACAAATATTGTGAGTCACACGAATGCCAGGATATAAATTATTTTTTAAAAGGATCACATTGTTTTAGTTGCTTTATATTTTACATATGATTGATCTTTTTATAAAGTAATAAGACAGCAGGCCTTGAAACATCCCAAAAACTTAGGAACTGTAAATACAAATCAGACATAATGCAGTGGGAAACCATAAAAGCATTCTCTTGATATGATCAGGAGGTATAACCACCTTGTAAGTAACGGCGTCAATGAGCTTCTTGTAGAAAAATGTGTTAAAGAAATGACTATCAGAGGAGATTTGAGACGGGTATATGATTTTTTAAAAGTAGGTTATATATTTATGATATGAAAAATAAGGTTTAAAATATATTTATTTATTGATTTTATGAGTTATAGATTTATTATATGTGTTATGATAACCGAAGATAATTTTGTAAACACACAAGTTTGTTTTAAAAATATAATATGTTATTGATTTTTTATGAAACCTCTCTTCTTCTTTTGCCAAAAGTATAATGCTACCAAAAGTTAATTTTGCTATACATATATAAATGAAAAGTGTATATATTTTAATAATTAAATTAATTATTTTCTAAAACATGATATCATATATATACGACTGTTATATGTTTAGAGTAAAAATTTATAAATAAAAAATGGCTAACTATATATGGATTTTGATAATTTGATAAATATACCTTTCTAAATTATGACAGTCAAATCAATTATAATATTCCTTAAAGTTATATTTATTTTATTCAACGCTAATAAAAATATATACAAATTATTTTTCCCAAAAATTGACTTTGAAATAAAATTTTCGAGTCATAGTATCAGACACTATGTGTTTCATAAAATTTTAAGTATGTAAATAATTAAACTATATTTTATAGTAGGTACTTATTGAACATTTTTTAAAAATCTGTTTCAAAAAGATGAATTTTCTCATTTTTCAATATATTTTTTTGTTAAGTATTTCCAATTTTATCCTTTTTATCTATTTGTTTATTTTATATGAATAAAAAACAATGGACAAATATGTTATTTCAAGTTTTTTATAATAAATGTGAAAATCTCAAAATATTATTCGTTAAGAATTAGATGGAATATTTTTTAAAAAATCTATATATGTCCTAAGAGCGGTGAGGTGGTTGGTATGCACAAATGTGCGGGCCAACCATCTACCTGCTCATAGGATAAGTAAAGATGGTAACATCTATTTTTGTTTAATTAGCAATAGCTCAAAGAAAAATGTATAGTTAAAATATATATATTGACAATATTATATTATCTAATAAGAAAAAAAAGCATAATATATATAATTTTCAAAGCATATAATAAAAAATCAGTTATTATTTAATTTAACTTTATTTTTGAAATTAGATATCACTCTAAATGCTAGACAAAATAAAAAATGTTTTCAAAAGACACAAAACGATATGAAATGTTTGTGTGATTATTGTTAAACACTAAAACTGTTCATGTATAAAAACATAAGAGCTACATAATATGTATAAACACTCGCTGGATGTATTCTTGGGATGGGCTGGGATTCATAGCAAAGACAGTAGGCAAACCAATTCGGCTACACCCGATCACTGTCCTTTGTTCAAATTTTGAGGAAGCAAAAGTCTTTGTAGAAGCATACATGTCAAAAGAGCTACCTAAGACACATAGATTCAAATCGACTTTATGAATCGATGCAGAGGTCGTGTTTTCCTATCCATGGTTGCCAGCTAGATGTATACACTGCTCAAAATGGGGCCATACAGTACATGAGTGCAGAGTGAAAGGGGGGGGGGGGGGGGAACGGAGATCAGAACAGAGAAAGACCAAGGTCAGACCGGTTTCAAGGATGACATGATAAAGACTGTGGCTGTTACAAATGTTCAAAAACCAGTCATTCAGAACCAAGTTGATGTAGACACGCAAATAGCAGACAGAGATACAACCCAAACGAATATACTAATAAGAGATGCAGCGGTTTCATCAACCCCACGATCGGGGACTATTTATACATCTGAGAAAAGCACATCTGTTTCAGAACAAGTCGCAGAGACAGAAGAGGGTTCTTGGTTGCAAGTATCTCCTCGGAAAGCCAGAAAAGCAGCAGGAAAGGAAACAGAAGGGTCGTGTAACCTGGGTACCCCCTCAAGATTTACAATTCTTACCGCTACTATTTTGGATCATTTTGACGAAAAAGGGTTCAAAACATGGCAGTTGAAGATGCACTTCTTCTTGACAAACATGAAGTTCGATAAGTTCCTCACTGAAGATCAACCGTTCCTTCCAGTCGGAAACACTGATGCCTACACTCTTGCAAGTGTTCAAGCATGGACCCATGGGGACTTCATATGCAGAGGTTGGATCTTAGGCCGTCTAAGTGACAAGCTGTACCTTGTGTACAGTAAGGAACCATCCTCTAAGTCCTTGTGGAAGTTGCTAGAGAAGAAGTACAAATCAGAAGGTGCTGGCTGTCAGAAATATGCGGTTGCAAAATTTTTCGACTTCAAAATGGTGGATTCCAAACCCGTCATGGATCAAGTGGAGGCACTCCAACTGATTTGCCAAGAAATAGCTGCTGAGGGAATGTCCATCTGTGAGATCTTCACGGTCAACAGCCTCATTGAGAAGTTACCTCCGTGTTCGGTGGATTTTAAGAACTACCTCAAGCACAAGAGGAAGATAATGTCCCTTGAAGATGTTGTCACTAGGCTGCAAATGGAAGACAGAAATCGTAGGGCAAATGGTCTGCAGTTCCAGGAGCACAATGTGAATGTGGCAACCCACAAAGGCAAAGGAAAGGGCAAGGCTGTGGCAATGCCATCCCCTTTGAAACCAACCTCCTCAACAAACTTCAAGAAAGGCAATGCTGAGAGGAAGTTTAAAGGGAAATGCCACAAGTGTAACAAGATTGGTCACAAAAGTGATGTGTGCCGCAGCAGGCCCAAAGACAATGGGAGAGCTCAAGCCAACTTGACAGAAGAGAACATGTGTGCTGTGGTCTCGGAAGTCAACATGGTTGAAGACAACCCGAAAGAGTGGTGGTACGACACTGGTGCCACAACCCACATTTGTGCTGATAGGGAAATGTTCAGCACCTATCAGAAGAGCAAATCAACTGAGCAGTTGTTCATGGGAAACTCAGCATTCTCCAAGATCATTGGTCGTGGAAAAGTGGTGCTGAAGATGACCTCAGGCAAGGAACTCACTCTTCAGAATGTGAAGCATGTGCCTGACATGAGGAAGAACCTGATTTCCGGCACTCTGATAAGCAAGGCCGGATTTGCTGCTAACCTTGAGTCAGACAAGCTTGTGCTGAAGAAATTTGGGGTGTTTATTGGTAGGGGATATGAGAAGAACGGACTGATCAAGATGTGTGTCACGACAGTCCTTCGCAACAACGGAGCTGCAATTGCTAATAATGTTGTTGCTAATAATGTTGCTTCTGTTTCAAATGTTGTTGAATCTGTTTCGATGATTTCTATCAATAAGAACAATCCCGTTGCTTATTTGCTTGAGTCATTTGATATTTGGCATCAAAGGTTAGGACATGTGAATTATAAATCGATAAAAGGATTAATGAACTTGAACCTAATCCCAAAATGCAAAGCAAGCAAAGAAAAATGTGAAGTGTGCGTACAGGCCAAACTCACAAAACCCCCATCACCCCAAATTGAAAGAACAACTGAACCTCTAGGTCTAATACATACAGACTTGTGTGATTTAAAATATGCACCAACTAGAGGCGGTAAAAAATATTTTGTAACGTTCATCGATGATCACACAAAATATTGCTATGTATATTTGTTACGTAGTAAGGATGAGACCTTGGAAAAATTCAAGGAATATAAACGTGAAGTTGAAAACCAACTTAATAAAACTATTGAAATAGTTAGAAGTGATAGAGGAGGCGAATATGATGGACCGTTTAATGCCTTTTGTTTAGAACATGGGATTATCCATCAAACAACCGCTCCTTATTCTCCAGAATCTAACGGAGTTACGGAACAAAAGAACCGAACTCTGAAAGAGATGATGAATGCGATGTTACAGGAATCTGGGTTAGCCCATGACATGTGGGGGGAAGCTTTGCTTACCACAAATTATATCCTTAATAAGATACCACACAAAGTCACAGGAAAAACTCCTTATAAACTTTGGAAAGGTACTCCACCATCGTATAAATACTTGAAAGTGTGGGGGTGTCTAGCAAAAGTCTCTATACCACCTCCGAAAAAAGTCACAATCGGACCAAAAACAGTGGATTATATTTTTATTGGATATGCACACAACAGTAGTGCTTATCGGTTTCTGGTTCATAAATCAGAAGTACCGGATATCCACGTTAATACAACCATGGAATCTAGAAACGCATCTTTCTTTGAACACGTGTTTCCGTGTAAGGATAAACAAAATTCTAAACGA